ACGACGACGCCGGCGCTGCCGAGGACGCCGACGTCGCCTGGCAAGGGTAGCACTCGATGGCGTCCAGCGGCTCCCGCCGCGTGAACCCCATCAACGGGAGCCCGTCGAACTTCGGGGTGACGTCGTCCACGAGCAAACTGAAGCGCAGGCTCCTCGAGAGGAGAGGACGAAGAGGGAAAGCGCGAACGGCCAAAACCGGAAAAGGGGGAGAGAAAACCGTGAAAACCGGAAACATGTTGACGAACAGGGGGCGGTCGTGTGTTTGTGTATACCGCGAGTGTATATATACACCTGTACACACATATGCATGTGCGGGTGAGTGAAGGATAAAGAGATGCTCCCGAACAGCATCTATATGCATATGCGCGTATGTATCCTGGTTGAAAAGAGGGGTCTGCAACACACACACAAATCTAGACAGAGATAAAGAACAACGCCAACACACATCATCTAAAGCATTCGAAAAGGGAGGAAGAGAGAGAGAGAGAGAGGAAGAGTGAGAGAGAGGGAAACCAGTACAAGGAATCACATACTGATCTACGCGGATATACACATATATATACACATCTAGTGAAGCACGCACACACGCACATGTTATATTACGTATGTGGCTGTGTATATGTACATGTAGAGAGAGAAGAAGAGAGAGAGAGAGAGAGAGAAAAACGAAAGAGAGAGAGAGAGAGAGGAAGAAAGAGAGAGAGAAAGAGAAAAAGAACACAACACAAAGAAAGATGCACAGAGCCAAACAAGAGAGAGAGAGAGAGACAAACAACAAAACAACAAAAAGAGACAACAAGAGAGAGGAAGAGAGACAACAACACAAGGAACCATATACTTGTATACACAGTATACACACTTGTATGTTATAAACTTAAACACGCACGCGCCCACATTCATACATACACATTTATATATGTACTTATATATATATGTATATATGCATACGCGTATGTATTTGAAAAAAAAATGAGATATAACGAGAGAACAAACGAGTGAGAGACAGAGGCACGAAAAACTAGGGAAATGGTGAACGAAGGAGACAGAGCGGAGAACACACATTAAGAGAGAGTGAAAGAGATATCGCAACTATTCGGACGACGGATCGCCCAGGCCCCCCGGCCGCACGTGCCAGGCAGGCCTTGATCGCAAAGCCGGAGGCGCCACATATGGAACAGGGGTGGTGGGATGACCCCCCCGCTGGCGCGGACGAGAAGGGCCCCCGCCGTGAAGGCGGGCGGCATTGATCTGCCCTATCAGAAGCCCGCATGCGCCCCCGTGCAGAAAGGGGCGCTGGTTTTTAGCACGCTTTGGCACGTGCGCCTCGACGCCCAAAGAAGAGCGGCGCCGCCTTCGGGCATGCCCCGCAGCGGCCCAAAAAAGAAGCAGACGACGGAACAGGCGCCGGCAGTTCACGAAGCCCGATGAGGACGAGGGGGTAGCACTGGTGCGCCGCCATGGGAGCGTCAAAGAAAGCTTGGAAGTTGCCGTAGGAGCGCGCCCCCCCCCCTCATGGCCGCAGCAAGCCGAAAGGCCTGCTGCAGGCCGCTCCAAGCCTCTTGCGCACGGTGGAAGCGCTGAAGCGCGAGCCAGCGGCGCCGATGGCTGCTGGATCTGGTGCGAAGAAAGATTAGCAGCTGATCGGCTCGCAGTTGGAGCGCTTGTATGTTGGCGGTGAGAGTTGCATCGCGATAGTATGTTTACTGGCCGCTGGCCGCTGTGAGGTGCCGCGCGAGGGCTCGCCTGCGGTCCGTGCGTTGCACGATGCCGTGGGCGCGGTCGCGGTAGCACTCGCCACTGGCCTCGCGGCTGCCCTCGTCGAGTCCCTGGCGGGCCAAGTGGAGGGGGCGCATGAAGTTGAGAGCGATGGGTGGCCATCGCGCCATGCCGCTCATGGGCGTCGAGTGGCCGAGCGTTTGCCGCCTCGCCAGAGCGGCCCCCAGCAAGGCTGACATTGCGAAATGGGGGTGGCGCAATGATAGGAAGTCGCGGTCGTCGCAGCGGCTGAGAGGGGCCCCGAGCCCCAGCTGGTCCAGGTCGTCAACTTCGAAGACGCCCGCAGGCTGGGATCAGAGGCTATCGGATTCGTCGAAATGGTCAGGGCTCGGCGGCCTGGCCAGCGAATGCGGCCCTCAATGTGCGCCTGTGCCGCGCTTCCCCTTCCCGGTGGCGAATGGGTTCGGCCACTTTTGGAAAGCACCTCGCGTTGCGCTGCCTTGCCGCCGAGGAGGCCCTCAAGCGCGTCGACGACCGCTCGGTTGCCGACGGCGACGCGGGCTGGCCGTTTCAGCGCGGCGACGAAGCGCAGCATTGCGAGGGTTCGGCCAGTTGCGCGGACTGCGCCAGGCAGCGCGCGCGCACGTCGAACGTTGGAGCCGGTGGCCCGGCCAGCAATGCGCGCCAATGGCCGCCCAGGAGGGGGCGAACTTGGTTAGCACAGGCCCCGTCGCTCGCGGCGTCGACCCGTCGGGCACCATGGTCGCTGGTGCACATGCTCTAGCTGCGCATCGTCGTCTGCCTCGCCCTGGGGCGGACTCGGGATGGGCCGCGGGCGCTGGTCTTCCGCGAGAGCGGCCTGGAGGTCGGGCAAGGTGGGATCTCCCTCTGAGAACCTTCTGAGGATGCCGCAGCGCCCGACGCGCGGCGGGAGGCCCGGCCGCGGTTGATCGGCAGTCGTGGCATTGAGGGCGGTCCAGGGCAGACAGCGCCCCTGGGCTTTTTCTTTTTGGTCACGCCATCTGCGCAGGAGAGATGAGTCCGCCGAGGTGTCGGCCCTGACTTTTCCCCGTCGGGCGTGGCCACCACCGCAGAGGTAGTTGCCAAGGAGGCCGCGTTGCCAAGTGGCACGCGGTCCTAGGGCGCCAGGTGTCGACAAAATAACCAAGGCCCTATGCGACGGCGGCAACGGCTCCAAGGTCGCGCCAGGCGGTTGGGACGCGTCTGAGGAAGGCTCTCCGTTGCGCCGCCCGGAGTACGCGCGTGAAGGGACCAACTGGCAGCGAGGGCCAGGAGAGGCGGGTGCCCGGATCCACGTACACATTGGCAGGTTAGGGCCATGACCATTCGAGTTGGGCAACGGCGCGCCAAACTCTGCCGACAGGCCCCCCCTTGGAAGGTTCGCGAGTAGCTGTGGAGCGACTCGGCTCCGGCTTCCAGGCCGGTGTCTCCTCGCGCTCGCCTTGACCTAGCAGCGCTTCTCTTAGAGTGGCGGCGACGAGTGCGATCGCGTGGCCAGGGAACGCCAGGGCATGGGGCGCCCAGCGTGAGATCAAGGATCGCCCTTCGGGTCTGACGGCTGCAATAAGCCGCGTTGTTGTAGAGATGCCGCGCGCAATCGCTGGCAGCTTGAATATCCGGACCGGTGGCGCGCATGCTGGCCGCGCGAGAACGACCCGATCGAGTCCTCAGTTAGGTGCCTTCGAGGAGACGCCCGATGCGTGGGGGGGCACTTCATGGCTTGTTTCACATTGGCATCGGCAGAGGCGTCGAGGTTGATGCTAGGGTCCCTTGATCTCTAACGCCACGTTGATGTAGCTCCCGCGCCAACTTCACCCAGCGGTGAGTGTTGAATGGGTGCTCGTGAAAGCAGCGAGCGGCAACCAAGCGCATGGGATCGTCGACTCTGGCCCTTCCCGCGACTTTGCCCGGGCAAGCTCTGGCCCAGCACTCCGTCAAACAGAACTGTCTGGTCAATAGCAGCCCGTAATTCTACCGCCGCGGGGGCTGCGGCGTTGCTACCATCGACGAACGTGCCGCTGAAAGAACGGCAGGTGCACATACGTTGCTGCGTCGCCCAGACGCACGCGAGAAGCTGGATGTCGTCGACGGTGCGGAGAGCGCTCTCGGGCGCGCCCGCCGGCGCCCCTAAGCGGCGGGAGGCGCCTCTCAGAGCGGCGCCTCGCCCGCGCAACGCCCTGGGCCAGCGGGCGCGAAGGGGCAAGCATCGGCAGATGTCTGTGGTCTGGTAGCCTAGGCAATTCTGACGATCCAATGCAACCCCCGCCAACGGCTTATGGCAACGCTGCGCGCATTCAGCTTGCAGGGCAAGCGCCGCGCTGACATCGTCGATCAGCCGCCGCGCCGCCTCGCGCGGAGTGGGCGCGCTCTCGGGGGTGAGGACTGAGGCGCGCCCATCTGAGCCTCAGTCCTCGTTCCTGAGCAGATCTTATAAAGTTCGGAGCCCCTCGGCCCAAGTCTCCAAGGCGGCCCGCTCACTGTCGCACGTCTGTCCGAGGCCCATGAAGGCCCCGAGACGGGCGCAAGGGGCCCCGCGAAGCACCCGCGACGGCCCAGGAAGGCCCCGAGACGACCCGAGACGCTCAATGCGATCCCCAGACAGCCCGACAAGCCCGAGGCACCCAACGGCAGGCCCCGAGATGCTCTCAAGAGGCCCCCAAGAAGCCCCCAAAGGCTCCGAGAGGCCCCGAAGAAGCCCAGAATGCCCCAGGCCCCCAAGAAGCGCCCAAACTGCCTCCAAGAGGCCCCCAAGAAGCCTCGCATGAGAGCCCAGCGAACATCAAATCAGGTTCACGTTCGCCACCCAGGCGCGGCGGCGGGATGGGCCGCAGGCCATTGGATAACAACACTTGGGACCGCCCCCCATGCTGGTTGGGCGGGTCCAGTGAGCACTCCAAGAAATCAGACCGCGATTAGCTGGCGCTTCCTGGGCGCGCATCCAGCTGGACATCATCGCAAAGAGCATTTGGTCCGTGGGCGGCTCGCGCTTCCCTTGTCGCAAGCATGGGCTGGGGGCGTGGAGGATGAAGGGGAATTGGGACACACAAATAAATACACACAAATACAAATATCCCCTATATTTTCATATATTTTCTGGGTTTTTGTCTTCCCCCCCACTTCCCATATTTTCCCATATTTTCTGGGAATCGCCGATTAATTGTGTCTGTGTGTTTTTTCCCCTCCTGAGAGGAGCAGTGCAGGGGCGACGCCCGCCCGTCGCATGGCCTGGGGGCGCCGCGGCGAACAGGCGCAGGACTCCCCGGCGGCGACACCGCGCGGGAGCTCAGGTGGAGCTGGAGCTACTTGGGCGCCCGAGTTATCCGGGGTAACTCGGGTCCGGGGTAACTCGGGTTTGGATTCCCGAAAAAGGAACCCGAGTTATCCCTGACCCGAGTTACCCCTGATGATTCTGGGGCTCTGGACGCCCGAGTTATCCGGGGTAACTCGGGTCCGGGGTAACTCGGGCTTGGATTCCCGAAAAAGGAACCCGAGTTATCCCTGACCCGAGTTACCCCTGATGATTCGGGGCTCTGAAGCTACCACGATCCCCAAGAACGGGCACACCCCAGAGGCCGGGACCGGCGCGGGCACGATGGCTGTCGCCGAGGGGGGCGGGCTGTGGAGCGGAGTCGGGAGGAGGAGGACGAGGAAGAATCGGAGGAGGAGGAGCAAGAATCGGAGGAGGAGGAGGAGGAATATGACTAAGAATCGGAGGAGGAGGAGGAGGAATATGAGGAGGAGGAGGAGGAGGAGGAGGAGGAGGAGGAGTAATATGATGAGGAAAATGAGGAGGAATATGTTGAGGAGGAGGAGGAAGATGAGGGAGGAGGAGGAGGAGGAGGAGGAGGAGGAGGAGGAGGCGGAGAAGGAGGAGTCCCAAGGCTCCCGAGGGCGCTCTTGTTCCGTGACGGCCCCGAGGCCCTGGTGGGGCCCCCCGGGGGCCGAGAGGCGCAGCAGAAGCATCACTCGTCCTCGGTGCTGGCGGCGCGCGAGGAAGGCTGGGCCCCCCCCCGCCCTCCGAGTGGCCGGCGGCTGCCCGGGACGATCCAGACAGTAATACAAGCCTCCCACATGGGGTCGGAGTAGACGGGGTCGGAGGATCGCGCCGCATCGCGGATGCCTCGGCGATACATCGCCGATGCATCCGCGATGCATCGGCGATGTCGGCGTTGCATCGGCGATACGTCGCCGATGCATCGGCGACGCCAGCGTGGGGAGAAGCGGACTCCACATCGAGCTGCATCGCCGATGCATCGACGATGCGGCGCGATCCTCCGACCCCATGTGCTCGGACCCCATCTGGGAGATAACGCCCTGGCCCCTTGACGCCCTCGGCCAGGCGCAGCTGCTGGAAACCATTCCAAGGTTTATGTTTTTCCCATCGTACTTAAGGACCACATCCCAAAAATAATGTCGAGCACACGGAAAAGTGTCGAGAGAGTGTCGAGAGTGTCGAAACAGTGTCGGGCGAGTGTCTCCCAGGGCCCGACACGTGAAAACCCTCGAGTTTTGGTATTTCTGTGGTGCTCGAAATTCTTTCTGGTGATCCAGGCTAAAGTAGGCTGGAACATGACTACCCAAGGCGAGAGTACCTTCACGAGTCAGCAGAAACTGTAGGAAATCTGGAAGGATCCAGGCATCCGACGACGTGTTCCTGTGCAGTCTGCGGCCCCGGAGCTCTGGATTTCTTCCCTCTTCTTCCCCGGGGAGAAATGCTGCCCCGAAGCGAGTTCTGAGGCCGAAGTCTAAGAAAAGCCGCCGGGACTGAACCGCAGCATCGTCGGAGACCTCTGGCCTGTGGCCGCGTTCTCTTCGCGACGCGATGAAGGAGAGCGGCAGGGAAGGAACGGCTGAAATGGGGGAGACCCCGAGCTGGCATCGGCGATGCATCGCCGACAGATCGGCGATTGGCCCCGAGAGGGGAACCTGCACGCTCCTGGGCCGGGTGAGCCATCGGGCCCCGGTCGGCGACGAGTGGCCGATTGGGAGTCAAAACGTCCCTCCCGAGCCAGCCACGGGGGCGACTTGAGCCAACGGCAGCTCAATGTAAGTACCTGTCCCCAGACCCTTTGAACGCCCGGAATGGGTACGGAAAGAAGGGGTACGATGCCCAACAGCAAGTGTGGTCCCAAACCAACAGCGGCCGCCGTTGGACAGGCGGCATTCTGTCTCGGATGGACACAAGCCGCTGCGGCGTGGACAGCGGATCCTGTTCAAAATGAACCAGATCCGCTACTGGGCATTGTATCTTGGGCGCCCGAGTTATCCGGGGTAACTCGGGTCCGGGGTAACTCGGGTTTGGATTCCCGAAAAAGGAACCCGAATTATCCCTGACCCGAGTTACCCCTGATGATTCGGGGCTCTGAGTATCCATTCTTTTCGTGCCCATGTCGGTCGTGCAAAGACCCGTCGTGAGCCCCAAGTGTGCGCCCGCCGGACGTGCGCCCCGTCGGAGGGGGCCCTCCGAAGGCCAACGTCCGCTGCCCCAACGCGCCCTCCTCTGAGAGCCAGCCCCACCCCCCCGCGTAATTAACGCTGCCCCTGATTCGGGCAGTTGACAACGCAGGGGCAACGAGCGCAAGGGACCGAGGAGTCCAGGAAAGAAGCCCCGCATAGGCCCCGAAACGACTTCCTCTCTCCATCCCGCGCTGATTGCCCCCACCTTACGGTCGAACCTAGCCCAGAAGAGCATCCCTCAAGTGCATGCGACCCTCCGTCGGCCAAAACACATAGAACATCCGAGGATACCCTCCCCTGGGTGACAAAAACATCCAACAGGCACGAAAAACACTAGAGCACCGTCCCCGAACCTTGGCGGCGCGCACAAGGGGGTGGAGGGATGGGGGAATGCTTCTTAGAAGAAGGCTGCTCATTAGAAGGAGCCGGCCTTGCGTCTGTAGATAAGGCCCGCGCCTTCTAAGAAGCAGGGGTGCTTCAAAGAAGCCATCCCCCCTCCCCCCACCCCCCCGTGCGCATGGCCGGGGGCCGACCTCGATCTTATACCCTGGTCCGACTGCACCGGTCTCCCGACTGACGCGAGGGAGCCTGGAGACGGCAACGGCAACGGCCCGGCGCAGCGAAAGTTGAGCAGGGACCGACCGTTCCGGCATTCCTATAGGCCTACCACGAAATAGTCTTAGAACCCGACCATGCTGAAAGAAAACGAAAACAGTGATCGTATAACATCTACCCGAGGTGTCAAAAGAAAACAGCCTCCGCCAGAAGTGTTCTAAGAACATTTCGTCGAGATCACAAAAGGTTTTTAGACAATTCTTTGGTGGGCCTATAGGCGAGCCAGGACGCTTCGCCATTGCTTGAAAAAGGCGGGGCTCTCCCGTCGCCGCTCGGGCGCGCGGGCTGCTGCACGAAGACGAGGCAGCCGCTGGGGAGGTCGTAGGGCTCCCGGCGCAGCGCGGTGCGGCCCCTGCCGATGAGGATGCAATGGTCCTCTCGATGGGGCAGAGGACAGCGGAGCAGAGCACAGGCTGGAGGGAGAGGAGGGAGGAGGAGGAGGAGGAGGAGGAGGAGGAGGAGGAGGAGGAGGAGGAGGAGGTGGAGGAGAAGGAGGAGGGGAGAGGAGGAGGAGGAGGAGGAGGAGGAGGAGGAAGAGGAGGGAGGAGGAGGCGAGAGGAGGAGGAGGAGGAGAAGGAGGAGGAGGAGGAGGATGAGGAGGAGGAGGAGGAGGAGGAGGGAGGAGGAAGAGTAGGATTCTACGGGCCAAAACGGTTCGCGACGGCCTGTGCTTTCGCGCAGTGGGAGATACAGGCCGCTTTGGGCCGACCCCGAGCCGAGCCAGAAACTCCAGGGAGACCCTATAGGGGCTGGTTGGTGGTGGGGTGTAACCCGCCCCACAATCGATTCAGCCTACCCCCGATCACTCTTTGGGCCCCGGGGCGACATGGGGCGAAAAGGCCCGTCCACCTCTCGCAGGTGGCGTACCTGGCACACCTGCGACAGAAAACGTGGGATTGGCGGGACACGAGTTCGTGTCCCGCTTCCTGTGCTTTATCGACCCTGGCTCCCCCCCAGTCCAGAGCGGTCCGAGACGGGAGAGCGGCAGCCAGGGGCGGGGCAGGGGGGTCAGGAGCCGCCAGGGCCCTTCCCTCCTCGCCCTCGACCGTTCCTGGGTCCCTGGGAGGGTCCAGGAGAACCGAAGGGGGGTCGGGGGGGGGTCGAATCCGTCGGACTTGAACCTAGCTCAGTGTCAATAGTATCTCGGCCTAGGACTCCTACACACGCTCCAAATTCCAGGATGTCCCGAACCAGACGATACTCCTATAAGTAGGCTTCTCTACACCAGGCGGGGTGGGTATGATACGAGGCCCCCTGCTTTGCACACCTGTCTGCAATTCTGTTGCCTTCCCACCTCGCGCGCCCGATCGCTTCGCGCTCGGCGCGCGACGCGTGTGCTCTCACTTTGCACACCATGACGGCGCGCGGGCTCAGGCCGCCGTGCTCGGCGATGGCCTCGAAGATGCGCTCCCAAATGTCAAGGTGCGGGCGGCTCCTCTTGCCGAGCCACGTCGGTCCTGCCTGCGCGCCGTCGACGACGTTCTGGCAATCGGTATGAATTATGATCGGTGGCGTGCCCACTGTCAGCGCCTGCAGCAGCGCGTAGAGCTCCGCCCTCGGGACGCTCTGGATCCACTGCGTGCCAGGGAGCGGCCCGTAGCACACGCAGTCCATCTCGTACTCGTCGTTGCCTTTGAGCTTGGTGAAGCTCCAGCCGCCTCGTCGCAGTGCTGGGCAGTCGCCGAACTGCAGCGAACCGTCCACGTAGATGTCCCCCGTCGCCAGGCCGCCCCAGTTGCCCTCGGCAAGCCAGTCGTCGCACGACGCCAAGTCCCAGAGCCTCAATTCGACGGCCGGGTCCGCCATGATGCCCCCCCCCCCCCCAATTTCCTTCAGCCCCTGGGCCAGGCCATGGGTTTGCTCCTCGCTGTTGAATGCGTGGGCCCCCGACCACGCCTCGGCGCCGCTGGCGCGCGGGGCACGCGAAAGTTCGATGTCTATTGGTGCTAGGTGCCAGCCCGCGCGCCCTGCGCGCGCTGTCAGGTGCCACTCCTTTGGTGCGCAGCCGCGCCTGCGGCCGCGCGCCCCCGCAGAAAAGGCCTCGGACTCGCGTGCGATGTGCCTGAGTTCGTCGCCCCTTGAGTGCCCGTCGTAGTGGAGCTTGAGCTGGTTCTAGGAAGATGGAGGTGATGCCGTACTGGTGGCCGCACTGCTTCACCCACTCGCCCTTCAGTTGCAGCTCCGCGGTGCGGACGACGCGCAGCTTGGCGAAGCGCAGGTCGAGAGCCGCGCCATCGATTGTTACTGAGTGCGCGGCCTGCGTCATCCAGCCGAAGCGCTTCACCGTCGCCGCGAATGCTCCAGCGGGCCCCCGTGCTGTGAGCCAGGGGGCCCTGCACTTGTAGATCTTCATCACCGAGGTGCGCCACGCGCTGTGGAGCCGCTCGGCCAGCTGCGCGTCCTCGAGCGCCTCCTGCCACGCCGTCGCCCAGGCGATAATGGGGCCGCTGTTGACCAGGTTGCCTGGGTCGGCTCTGTCGACTCGGTCTTTGAGGGCAGTAGACCTGCCCTTGGTGTTGCCCTCCATCGCCGTCGCCGCGCTCTTCCTCAACTCATTGAGCTTGGAGTCTGCGGTGCCGACGATGGTGGAGCCGTAGAGGAGCGCTGGCACTTTGGCTTGTCTGCATCTGCGCCGCCCCTCCTGCTCTCCGCGCGGCTGCCACCCGTGCCTTCCTCGCTGCAAACTTGAGCGCGCGCTTGTTTATTGCTGCCACTCGCCTCCGTCTGCATGCTGTAGCTGCGACTCCCAGGTGCTTCTCGTGCTTCACCACTCTCACGCCGAGGCGCCTGGCGTTCGCGTTGATGTTCTGTCCCAGCGCGGCGGAGGACGTCAGGGTGACCGTCTTGCCCTCCGCGCCCCTCGAGAGGGCCATGTCCAGCTCCGCCGCGAACATGTATACCACGGCCGCGACGGGCAGTGGGTGGAAGTGGTCGACGAACTCGCGGATGCCGCGCGTGGCCATGGCGAGGTCGCCGAAGAACAGGCACGTGTCCGCCCGCGGGAACTGGTGCACGAGCTCGTCCAACTCCAGGATGATCACCATCTAGAGGCAGAACGGCGCGCACCTGCTGCCCGCGACGATGCCGCGCTGCCACGCCCTGCCCTCGGCGCAGCACCCACCCAGGACGGCGCGCCCCACCGTGCCGTATATCTTGAAGACGGTGCGCACGATGACGGGGTTGAAGCCCCAGCTCCGTGTTGCCTCCCATACCTTCCGATGCGTGGCCCGCTCGAAGCACTTGACAAGGTCGAAGTAGGTCACCGCGTACTCATGTCAATCGGCGCGCGCGGCCTCGCAATATAGGGCCTGCAGCCACACCGCTCGCTCCGATGATCTCCCTCGCCGAGCCCAATCATAGGCTCTCTGGTTGGCAGCCTCCCAGCGCCTGGCGCAAGGAATGCGGGTGGTCCCCCACACGCGCGCCAGCTCGGGGACGAGGCCCAGGTTGCGGAAGCCCCCTGCTGCCTTCGGTTTCAGGTAGAAGAGGGTGGCGGCCTGCGATGTGGGCCACGGCGCCCATCGCTCCACCGCGCCACGCACGCGCGCCACGCGTGCTGCTCACTGGAACCCGCTATGGCGCCACAAACGCGGGTGCCAGTCTGCTTTTCCAAGGCCAGTCTTGGGGCGGAATCGCCCGCGCGCCTCGATGATGTCCCTCGGTGTGATCCGCGGAACTGCGTGCTCTCGCCACTCGTCGTCACTGGGAGGCTGGCACCGCAGCTCGCTGGCGTCATGGCTGTCCGCCCAGACCGTCTCCCAGCCCTCCAGCGCCGCGTCCGCGGCAACCTGCGGGTGCGTGAGCTCCTGCTGGTTGTGGTGCTCGGTCGGCTTGATCGGTCCCCACGGGACTGGCGGCTTCGTCCACTTGCGCAGTGCCCCCGCTCCCGCCTGGCTGTGCTTGGCCACCCAGCGCCGCCGACCTCTTGCTGCTTCCCGTTGCACTCGCCGCCACATGCGTTGGCTGGCGACCGTCGTGAGCTTGGCCGCGCAATCCACGCGGTGCAGGCCCCGCTCGGTGATGTTCGCCGCCCCGATCCAGGCGATGGCGTTCGCCAACTTGCTCCAATCGATGTCCGTCCAGTGCCCCCGCCCCGTCGGTAGGCGGCGCTCTCCTGCCGCTTCCGCCCCAACCGACAGGCAGTCCTGCAAGGCCGCTGGGCCGAGGACAGCGGGGCGCCGAAAAGTAAACTCTGGGAGGCTCACCTCGTCCTCCTCGACTCGGCGTGCTGCGTCGTTGAGCTACTTCAGGTCGTCGGCGAATGCCTCGGCGCCGACGCTGTCGTTCTCGCGCTCTGCGTCGACATCGACGTGGTCGCCGATGTCGCCCCCGTTCTCGCGCCCGTCCGCGGCGCGCTCCTGGTCGGGCTCGTCGCTCCAGGCCGGGTGGCGCCGCTCGAGGCGCGGCTCGATGATGTCCTTCTCAAGGATGCCATTGGCGTTGCACTGCGCCCGGCACAGCGTCTCCTGCTTGCCGTTGCGCCGCCACGCTCGCACCGCGGTGCTGATAAGCTCGAGTCTGCGCCCCAGCCATTCTGCTGCTTCCGCCCACTGCTGCTCGCGCCCGGCCTCGCACACCTTGGACAGCTTGAGCTGCCCCCAGGCGCAGGTGGGGGCCTGCAGGTGGCCCTTGCGATCGTGCCACTCCAGGCCGACGTAGTTGAAGTGCTCGTTGAGGTGCTCCTCGTACGTGTTGGCCAGGTTGCTCCAGTAGCTGCCCACCTCCCCCTGGCTGTGCCTCGCGCGCTCCAGGAGACGTGGCCGCGCTGAGGCCAGCGTCGTAGGTGCCGCCGTGCCCGCGCCCAGCGTCGTTGTTCCCGTATGCGCGGCATGCGTAGTAGCACAGGGGAGTGCGGCGCTGTGTCGAACTGGTCCTGCACTGCCAAATGGGGCGGGCCGTCCAGGAGCGTCTTCGAGATGAAGTAGTCGCGGCGCCGCGCCTCGCCCAGACAGACGCACGACCCGCGGGAAGTGTCGAACGCGATGATCCCTTCCTTCCTGTCGACCACCCCTGTCTGCTGTAGCCCGGCGGGGTCCATGTTGAAGCCGCCGCCCAGGATCCAGTACTTCCCCACCGCCATAGCAGCCGTGGTGAAGTTCCGCAGGATGGCCTTGTTGCGGTCGGTCATTCCCTCGCTGACCCATAGGTAGGCCGCGCCGATGGCGACGCCCTGCTTGCCGAGGGCGTCGACCCAGCCGATCGCGAAGCGGCCGTTGGACTCGCGGGGCGAGATGCCCCACGTGTCGAGGCCCCTGGCGTAGCACATGTCGTTGGGGCGACCGGTCGCCAGGAGCACCCCTTCGCTCCAGCCCCCGCTCGCCGCGCGGACGCTGGGCGAGATGCCCAGCCTCCATCCTTCCTTCTGCATGCGTTGCGTGAAGCAGGCGATGCCGTGCTCATTGGCCTGCAACTCCTGCGCCATGATGACGGGGAACTTGTTGGTGTACCTGATGGAGCGCATGGCGCGCTCCAGCGTGCCGATGGAGTTCGCGCTGACGGCGATGAACCCCTGCCCGCCCTCCTCGTCAGGAAGACGGCGGTGGTGCTGTCCAGGTGCTCTTGCAGATGTTGAGCACGGTGCTAGGCTGCATGCCAGCCAGCAGAGGAATGAGATGAGCCGCGCGGCGCTCGATCTGCTCGCGCGCGCAGCCTGCGTCCTGCATGATCTTGATGACCTGCTGCTCGCCGGCGCCCCTGGGGGCACGAGACCGGCCCCTGCTTGACCCCCTCCTCGGCACGACGCTGGGTCCTCCGCTTGTCTTTGGCATCTTTGGCGGCCTCGCGCGCGGCGTCGGCCTCCTTCTTGGCTGCCTCCGCGGCGGCGGCAGCAGCGCGCCCCTCCTCGGCGGCTTGCTCCTGCTTGGCGTAGCGGAGGGCCTCGCTGAGCTTGGGGTCGGCGCCCTGGTCGCGCAAGAATTTAGTGGCCTGCTCCAGGAATGAGACCGCCGCGACCCAGCCCTGCCCTGCTTTGGGCATGCTGAGCTCCTCGATGCGGGCGTTCTGTTTCTGCAGCTTGTCGCCCTGCCGGGCCAGGAGAGCCTGTTCCTTGTCAAGCTTCTCCTGGGCCTCCTTGATCTTCTGCCCCTGCTTCTCCGCTCGCTCTTCGGTGCGGCCGCGCTGCCCCTGCGTCTTGTTCCTCTCGCGCGCGAGCATGCATGCACTCGGAGAAACAACGCGGTGCGTCGCTGCCTGCATCAGCAGCTGCCTGCAACTCATCAACTTCTTCCTGAATGGTGGTGATGGTGCCCTGGACGTGCGTCGCCAAGTCTGGGTTCTCTGCTTGCCGCCGAAGGTCAGCCAGGCGCCCCCGTAACCTCTTGAGCTTAGCTTTGGTGGCGTCCTCGGCGCCCGCATCGCCCTGGGCGTTGGCCGAGCTGTGGTTCGTGGACTTCGCGGCGTCGCGAACCTTCCAGCGCTTCCAGCAGGAATCGTAGCCGCCCCCGCTCTGAGCTTTGGCACCCCGCGCAAGCCCAGCCACCATTCCGCGAAGTCGAGCGCGGGGCCATAAATCGGCTCGAGAGCGCAGCAGTTCCACTTTGAAGTTGGCGCCCCTCAACACCGCCCTGCCTCTCTGCAGGCCCAAAGGGGGGTGGGGGGGGGGGGGGAAGGGGGGGGGGGGGGGGGGCGAGGGGGAAGAGGGGGGGGAGGGGCCCCGCCGCTGCAGGATGCCCCCAGTCTGCTGCCGCCGCGCAAGGAAGGCGAACCGCGGGGCGCGCCAGAAAGTGAAGCGCAGGCGGGCGCGCATCAGGTTCGCGGGCAGCGCGATGTCAGCGCGGGGGCGCGAGACTCGAAAAGAGGGGCGCAACAGTTTCAGAGCAAAGAGAAACGAGACAAACGAGCCAGGCGACGAAAGGTACAAAATGAAGGGGAAGGCTCGCGAGCGGATCAGAACCGCAATCGTGGATCTACCTTAGGACCCCGATTGGCCTTGACGGCCCCGAGCCCCCATGGAGACAGGTAGCCATCAACGTGCATCAGCTTGAAGCTCGCGTCGCGCATGGGAGTTGGATTAACACGCTCGGTTGGCGCACGAAACCGCAGCGCTTTTCCTGTCGCGAGCTGCGTTGCCCAGCGCCGATCGCCGACCGACTTTGCCTTGCGCGCGGAAAGAGAACGGGGGGGGGGGGGCGCGAGAGAGAGAGAGAGAGAGAGAGAGAGAGAGAGAGAGGGAAAGAGAGAGAGAGAGGGAGAGAGAGAGAGAGAGAGGGAGAGAGAGAGAGAGAGGGAACATAAAAAAACAGAGAGAGAGAGAGAGAGAGAGAAAAAAAAAAAGGAGAGAGAGAGAGAGAGAGATCGGACAAGTAGGCGGACCAGGGTCCGTCCGCGAGGCGCACTGCGGTGAGACAACTCGCCAAACACTATTTGCGGCGGTGCAGCCTTAAGATACGAGGGCGGGCAACAAACCCCCTCCCCCGGCGCAATGCGACAGACGCTACAGACGGCGGACAGACGGTGAAGATCTCACGTGTCAGACCGCGTGAAGAAGGAGGCCCCAACAAGGAAGGCGACGTGCTGACACGTGGCTAGGCGGCTTGGCAGACCGCCAGTTGGGCGCTTGGCCGCAAAGCGGCGCGCAGGGGCGGGGCACCCCCCGCCCCCACGCCCTGACACCGTGGACGCGGAGCCACGCGTACACACGGGCAGGCAGAAAGGAGGAAATTAGCGCGGGGCACCAGGCGGAGCGCCGCGGAGCGATGACAGCATAGCTTGGATGGTGAGTGGCGGCGCAGCACCATCGGGCGAGGGCGTAAGCAGCTCGGCGAAGGCACGCCCGGCGCGGTGGAGGCGCTGGAGCAGAGGGCCTTGACGGGCTTGAGCAGCGGCAAGGTCGGCGGCGAGAGCAGCACACCTCTGCTGAAGAGCGGCCATAGACTGGGACAGCTCGGTTTCGCGGTCGGTGAGGGGCGGCTGCTCAGTGCCTGCGGCCGCGGGCCTCGTGGCAGGGACGAGGTCATCGGTGCGCCTGGCCAGGTGGTGGACTAGCGCAGTACGGCGCTCCGTGTGCTGGCGGCCGTCACCCTTGAGAGGCGACTGGAGGGTAACACGCGGTCCCAGGGCTGGAGCCGCTAGGGCCACGCCCCGTGAGGTCGGAAGAGCCGCATCCTCGCGCCCAGCAACAGTGAAAGCGTGGACGGGGTGCGACGGCCTGACTGGCTCGGTGCCCTGCGGGGGGGCTGGAGCCGCCCCCGCGGGCTGGCGCTGGTGGGGGGACGGAGTGGGTGGCACGGTAGGACCAATCATGATGCCGTGCGAGGGCTCGGAGGTCGGCCGCGTAGTCGGGTGGCGTCTCGATAGGGCGGCATCGTCGGCAGCGTGGGGTGTCGGCGGGGCGTCGTCTATGCTGCCACTCAGTCCGAGGGGATCAACCAGGTCATCGTCGGCGTCTTGACGGTGAGCGACATCATCATGTGGGTGCGATGTCGCTCTCGGTGGCGGAGTCGCGGTGGGCGTCGAGAGGTTGCCCGACGGGGCAGGGTTGGCGCTGGCTGGGCCGTCGTCCAAGAAGTCCAATCCCCCGCCGAAGCCGAACGGGTCGTCCTCCTGTTCATCGAGCATCGCCCGTTGGGCCTCGGCCCAGAGCTCATCCGGGTCTTGCGGGATGAATGGTCCAGCCGCGGGTGGTGCCTGGTCCGACAGCAGGGGGTTTGGTTCCATTTTGCTGAGTTCCGCAGCTGTAAACCCAGCCCTGCGGTGTGGGAGCGGCAGAGTGCGGTGTCTGCGCTCGTAGATAGCGACAGCGACCCCATGAAGCACGGTCGCTTGGCGATGTCGTGTTTTGGCAGCTTCAACAATGTCGTCAGGAAGGTTGTGAGTGCGTGCCGCCGTTGTGGCAAGGGCGTCGGCCTGACGGTTGAACTCCTCCGCAATGGGCCCGATGAGCCCAAGGTCGATGCCCAGGTCTCCCAGGTGGCTGGCGATTTTTTCGACGCGAAACATGTTGGGCTTGGCCATAACACATCGGTGGATCTTTTCCCAGAGCTCCGCGTGCGTGCCCTGCGGCGCTGGATGTCCGTCGATGATGCTTTGGAACCCATCGACCACCGCCTGGTTGTCCACGAAAACGTGCACGGGCCGTTCGGCACATGCCGTAAGGTGGACAATGGCGAGGGTCTCCGCAACCTGGGCGTTCTGCGTTAGGCCGTGAACGCGTGCACTGTAGTTCATGCGGTGGTCGATGCCGTAGTAGACGCCGTAGCCCGCTCGTGCTAGCAATGGGATGGCTTGGTTGGTGCATGCACCGTCCGTGGCAGCGTAGACCCATGTCCAACCAGTGTCGTGGTCAAGGTAGGTGGTGTAGGTGTCCTGGGCTGAAGCCGCAGGATCTCCCTCAGGGGGGGGCCGCGGCATGGGCTGTGGCAGCGGGTCCCTCGCGAGGTCGGCCTGCAGGTCGAGGAGGGCTGGGTCTTCGTCGAAGAGCCCGCAGTGTCTTGTGTGCGGCGGAAGACGGGCCCACTGGTCGTCACTGATGAGGGTGGTGAGAGGGAGTCTTTCTCGGGCCCAGCACTTGCAGTCGCGGACAGTGTGCTCCTGAGTTTCCTCTTCCTCGTCGCAGTAGCGGCAGATGGGGCTGGGGTCTGCCGACGTGTTTGATCGGGATCGTCGCTGTTGGGTGTGATCCCCGCCCGACAGGTAGTTCAGGAGGAGCGCCAGCTGCCAGGCAGTGCATTTGGCTGCTCCTTTAGTTCGGGCGAGCCACGTGCTGGCGAAGAGGTCAAGGCCCTGTCTGACAGAGGCTAGGTAGCCAAGGTCGTGTCGCCGTGGCTTGATCCTCCGCAGAAAAGCCCTGCGTTGTGAGGCCCGCAGCATGTGTAGGAAGGCGTTTTGGGGTAAATTCAGCCAGCTGATCTGGCAGCCCCAGTCGTCGTACATGATGCCAAATGTGGGCCAGGTCCATCGGAGCTGCTGGAGCGACTGGACGAGTCGTCCGACGGGTCCTCCACCAAACAGGGTCTGGACGTGGTGTTGGAGGTCTCTGGCGAGCCCGCAGAGTGTAACGTCGCGGTTAACCTGTCGCCGCAGGCACAGGAATGCTTCACGCTGCGTGATGGCGTCGATCTCCAGGGCGTGTCCTGGGACGCACACGGCCATGAGAGTCCAGAACTCGACCCACTTGTTCCCCTTGGGGCGGATAGCCGCCTTGAGGGCGTGGTTGTAGGCAGTTTTGGCTGGGCCTGATGGTGCTTGAATGTCGGTGCCCGTGGTGCAGACGCTGGCAGCCAGGGAACGGGCGTGCCGCGCCTTGATAAGCATCGGCGATGGGAGCTTGCCAATGCGCGGCAGGCGGATAGTCGCCCTCCGTACACGGGCGTCTGCGGTGGCCGTGAGGTTAAGCGCGGCTGGAGCCGGCGCTGCCTCTGCGTTGATGTAACTCCCGACGAGCTTGAAGGAATCGACCACACGTAGGGGGCGCTCCGCCAGTGTGAGCTGGGTAACGGCGGCGTGAAGCTCGTCGGTGAGCGCCCACCCTGCCACTTTACCAGGGTGAATGCGTTGACCTGAGAATCGATCAAACTTGGCGGTTTCGTCAAGAGATTTCTGCAGCTCAGACGCGGTGTGGGTAGTGGAGTTGCTGTCGTCAACAAAGGTAGTGCTGAGTGATCGAGGAACGTATCGATGCTGCCTCTTTGTCCACACGCACATGAGCAGCTTGATGTCGTCCAGGGACCACGAGCTTCCCTGGAGGTGACCGTTAGTCCTGGCCAAGTCCTTAGAGTACGCTCCGTTCATGCGGATGTAGCGTTTGTGGTGTCTGTAGAATTTCGGCGGACAGTAACGATGTCTTGAGGGCACCCCGCGTGCAGCGCAAGGTTAAGGCAGATGTCCGTGATGAGGTAGTCGAAGCACTTCTGTCGGTCAAGGGCAGCTCCAGCTAAGGGGAGGAGTAAAGCCCTGGCGTGTTCGATGCGCAGGGCGAGAGAGGTGCTGACATCCCCAATGGTGGCTTTGGGAACAGCGCCGAAGCTCGTGGCATGGGTCCATCCTTGCCGCCAGGTCGTGAGGCTACGGTAGGCTGGCGCTTCCCACGCGTACATCCAAACGGAAAGAACCGAGAGAAGTCGTTGGTCCGTCGGGAGTTCCCCTCGGCCTTTTCGGAGGCACGGGTTTGGCACGTGTAGGAGGGGCTCGGGGATGGTGCCAGTGCGTTGCATAGCACGTAAG